ACAACACTTTTTTCAAATTAATTAGAGAGAGAGAGAGAGAGAGAGAGAGAGAGAGAAAAGAACAACCATTATGGTTGTTGGAATAGGCCTAGCATTCAACTTGGGCTGTACTTAATGGGCATTAGCCTAGGCCCATTAGCCCAAAAGGATGGAGCACCAGTACAGCAAGTACAAGCCTACCCATGTGGGCAGTGCCACGTGGGCCAATGAGGCACTTACACGTACAGACCCATGTCAGCATTTGTGGTTATAAATACCCCCCAACTACCTCCATGCAAGGTATTACCTCCACTACGCTTCTCTCTCTGCAATTACTCTTTGAGAGCTTCTCTCTCTAGAACATTGAGTATTGCTGACTTGGCCGTCGGAGTGTTTTCTCCGAGGAAACATCCTCGGGATTTTTAGGTGTGGAAGCAGTTGGAGACTTCAACAGTGTTGGATCGTGAAGCTGCCCAAACATTTGGCGCCGTCTGTGGGAAACTCGAACAAGAAGCTGCGTAGTTTAACCGGCAAAAAGACAAAATGGTTCGTACCTTTACTAGAATTCGCCCTCCAAGAAATGAAATGGATGAACAGGAGGACACACAACTATCTGACCTCGGCTTGAATGATTTTAGACCAATGCCGAGGAACCTTTTCGTAGGGGGAGCATAACAGGATCAATTAAGTGGAACATATGATGATGAAAGAACACCAATTGGATATGCAACTCAGCTTGAACAATCCCAAATTCCAACAGGAACAAGGTAGAGACATCCCAGACCACACAACTCACAACATGAATGACCTGAAAGGTCAATTGAGCCTACTCAAAGAACCGAGCTCGAAGAGAGAACCAGAGTTCTTGAAATGGCAATGGGTAAAATCCTTGCTCGCCTGATCCCTGATGACCCCTTGATTCCTTTGTTGAACAGGGATGCACAGCTGGCTGCGGTTGTTGCAACTCAAAACTCCCCTACTCTGAGCAACATAGTAGTGCCGACCAAACCAAGGGGAAGTGGGAAGCTAAATAACGAGCATAGCTCGTCCAAACATAGTGAAGAACTGATAAGAAAGAACGTAGACCTTGAAAGGCAACTGCGAGACGTACAAAAATTCATTGACGAGCTGAAAAGTCCCAGGTCACACCAACAGACCCTTGATTTGGATAGCGCCCCACTAAACCTATCCATCACAACAAAACCGTGTCAAGAGGGGTTCAAAATTCCCCACCTGGAGACGTATGATGGCTCAGGTGACCCGGATGAGCATCTGCACACCTATCAGGCCATCATGAGAATCCAAAATGCCAATGATGCCATGATGTGCAAAGTGTTCCCAGCGACATTGAAATCAACAGCAAGAAGATGGTATCATAAACTTCCCAAACATTCTATAGATTCCTACTCTCAGCTCGCTAAGCTATTCTCTAACAAATTTGCGAGCCAAAAAGAGATCAAGTGTACAGTGACTGAACTGATGCAAGTTCATAAAAAAGAAGGAGAATCTATGAGGGACTACATGCAGCGATTCAACAAGGCTACTTTAGACATTGATAACGTCCCCGATACCATCTGCTTGTCTGCCTTGCTGCATGGCTTGAAGCATGGTTGGTTCCTAGACGACCTGCTAGAAAACCCACCAAAGACGTGGAACGAAGTGAATGACAGGTCGGCTAGCTTCATACTGTCAGAAGGCTTCCAGTCGTCCAAGCGACGAGCTAATGATAAGCAGAGCAAAAGCCATGAACAACCATCGAGGAGAGAAGAAAGAAAAAGCAGAAAGTCAACGAGCAATGGGGGAAGCCAGCTGACTTTCCAAAGTATGCCAACTACATTCCTTTGACCTTGCCAAGGTCTCAAATCCTGGCACAAATCCAGCACTGGGTTAGAAGACCCCCACCCCCATTACATGATTCCCCAAGGGCAGACAAAAGTAAGCATTGTGACTACCATCGTACTTATGGTCATAACACAGAAGACTGCCAACACTTGAAGGACGAGCTGGAGTTTTTAGCTCGCAATGGGAAATTAGAAGCATATGTGCAGAAGCCTTATACCCAGCAACCATCTCAAACTCACTTTGTGCAAGGATATGACCGACCTCAAGGGCAGAGGTATCATCTCGGCAGCACGTAGGATGTGTATCAAAACAACCAATATTCCTCGGAGCAGGGCAGAGCGTACAGGGGACGTCAGTTCAATAGGCGAGGCCAAGGACAAAGAACTGCCACCCAGAACCAAAAAGATAGGAAAGGGGTAGGCTATACTGGGATACCCCTGCCCTCTGGTACAATAAATATGATCTCGGGTGGTATTCACTCAGGAGGTCAAAGCGCCCGCGGTCGTAAAGCATATGCACACCAGGTGATGAGTGTTAATAAGAATAGACCCTTGAAGCGGCCATTTGAGGAGGCGGAGTAGGAGAATACACCCATTAAATTCAGCCCGGCCGATTACAAGTGAGCAGACAGAGAGCCCGACGTTATGATGCCTCATGCAGATCCCTTTGTGGCAACGGTTCATATAGGTAATCACAACGTCAACAAGGTGTTCATCGATACTGGTAGCTCACCAGATATCTTATACTGGAGCTGTTTTCAAAAGATGCAACTGAATCCCAGCTCGCTGCAAAAGTATGAAGGGCCCATATATGGGTTCGATAACCAGCCTATCCCGGTTGAGGGAGTTATTACTCTTCCCATATGTGTGGGCTTAGAACCACGCTTCAAGATGGCCTCTGTTAGCTTCTTGGTCATCAAGATGGAATCAGCTTTCAATGCTATATTAGGAAGAGCCACCCTATGCGAGCTGAAGGTTGTCATCTCCCAACCCCATCTCGGTATGAAATTCCCAACTCTTCAGAGGGTCGGAGCGCTTAAGGGGAATCAGAAGATGGCCAGAGCCTGCTACCAAGACACTTTCAAGAAGGTCGAGCTCGCTGTGGCCCCGGCAGGTTTTGAAAATCACAAGCCAACCCAGCTCGGTTAGCAGACAATGAGCATATCAGATATCGAACACCGACCTGAGGGTGTCGAGCAGAAGGCTGAGCTGGTAGAACCGATGAAAACGATCCCTTTAAACCTTGATATGCCAAAAAGGACAGTTAAGATCAGCACCAAGCTCATAAAAGAAGAGCGAGTAGAGCTTCTAGAGTTTTTGAGGGTTAATCAGGATGTGTTTGCATGGACTACAGATGAATGCCTGGCATTCCAACGGATTTAACAGTCCACAAGCTCAACATGAACCCCACCAGAAAGCCGGTGGTTCAGAAACGTCGCCTTTTCGGTTTGGAGAAGCAAGTTGCTATAAATGAAGAGATACAAAAGTTGTTATAGGCAGGCTTCATAAGGAGAGTCGAATACTCTGAGTGGGTGTCCAACCCTGTGCTCGTCAAAAAACCAAGCGGCAAGTGGAGGATGTGTATTGACTTCACCAACTTAAATGAAGCATGTCCAAAAGACCCTCATCCCTTGCCGAATGTGGAGAAGCTGGTAGAGAGGGCAGTTGGACATGAGCGGATGAGCTTCCTTGATGCTAGCTTAGGGTACCACCAGGTTCAGTTACTGTTGGACGACCAGGAGAAAACAACATTTTATGCTGGTGACGCAATCTACTACTATGTTGTGATGCCGTTCGATCTGAAAAATGTTGGCGTAATATATCAGAAGCTGGTGAAAATAATCTTTAAGCTCCAGATTGGCAGGAACATAGAAGTATATGTGGATGACATGATAGTCACCAGTGTGCGAGCTGAGGATCATATAGACAACCTGAATGAGACCTTTCAAAATTTGCGCCGAGCCCAAATGAAGTTGAATCCCCTAAAATGCACGTTCGCTGTAGAATCAGGAAAATTCCTAGGGTACGTAGTATCCAAGAAAGGAATTGAGGTAAATCTGGAGAAGGTTCAAGCGGTTCAATAGATGGAGTTGCCCAGGACAGTAAAAGATGTGCAGCGTCTGACGGGTCATGTTGCTACGCTGCATAGGTTCATTGCCAGGTTGGCCGAAAAATGCCTCCTGTTCTTTAAAGCCTTAAGAGAGCCCAAGAACTTTCAGTGGACTGATGAATGCCAGCAGGCATTTGACGAGCTCAAGCAATATTTGGCATCAGCACCTCTACTGTCCAAGCCTGTCAAGGGGGAAAGTTTACAAGGCGCAGAACATAATTATCCACTAGCAGAAAAGGCTGCTTTCGCCCTGCTATACTCAGCTCATAAGTTGAGAGCTTACTTCCAATCCCATCAAATTGTTGTCTATACTGATCTACCGTTAAGAAAGATATTGCAGAAACAGGAACTCTCTGGTCGGCTTATCAGATGGAGCGTCGAGATGAGTGAGTACGACCTCAAATTTCAGCCACGCACAACCATAAAGGGCCAAGCTGTAGTGGACTTCCTAGTGGAGTGCCTCTTGGCGACGATGGAAGAGAGGGCACCCGAACACCCAATCTGGGTCTTGTATGTAGATGGAGGTGCTAACATTGAAGGGTCGGGTGTTGGAGCTGTGTTAGTGGGCCCAGAAGGCTTTGAATCCGAGCATGCATTAAGATTTAAATTTTAGACCACTAATAATGTTGTAAAATATGAAGCCCTCATTTATGGCCTGAAGCTAACGTCTGAATTGAAAGTGCAAAGCATTAAGGTGTTCAGTGATTCTCAGCTCATGGTAGGCCAAGGGAATGGTAGCTGTGAAATCAAGGATCCTCAGCTTGGTCGTTATGCCTTTGTGGTTAACCGATTGAAGTCAAGATTTGCCTCCTTCCAGATCGACAAGATACCCAGAGTAGATAACCAACAAGTTGACGAGCTGTCAAAATTAACCTCCTGTCAAAATTAACCTCCTCGCAAAATGTCACCCCTCAGAGGTCAACAATTGTGGAGGTACTTGACGCCCCGAACTACACCGATTTCACAATCGAGTGTCAGCTGCTAAGCACAGACCCCTCCTCATCGAGCTAGACTACCTCGCTCATTGATTATCTGCAAACTGGCGAGCTGCTTGAAGATCCGTCCGCTGCAAAGTTGATTAAACACAGGGCGGCACATTTCACTTTGTTAGATAATCAGCTCTACAAACGAGCAGCCTCAATGCCCCTATTACGCTGCCTTATTCCTTTTGAAGTTGAATATGCTATGAGGGAAGTTCATGAAGGAGTATGTGGCACACACATAGGTGGTAGAACTTTGGCTCGGAAACTCCTGAGGCATGGTTATTACTGGCCTATTATGGTTGAGGACGCACAGAACTACGTCAAAAAGTGCCTGACCTGCCAGTTCAATGTTGATGATATTCACATGCCAGGTATCTGAGCTCATTCTAAAAGTCGTACAAACTTCATGTTTGTCTATAAACTGAGTATAAGTATCTTCGTTGAAATAGGAGAAATGCTCTCATCACTATCATCTCCCTGGCCTTTTGCCTAATGAGGAGTCGACCTGTTCGGCCCTTTTGTGAAAGGCAAAGAAGGTTGCACTTATCTCGTTGTCGCGGTGGACTACTTCACCAAATGGATATAAGCTAAACCATTGTCCACGATAACAGGGAAGAAAATAGAAGAATTCCTATTCAATTCAATATTATGCAGGTATTCTTTGCTGGCTTAAATCATTGGTACCTTATATACAAATATAGTCTGTGGCTTAGCTCGGTCATTTGTGTATAGGTTCGGCATACCTAAACGGATCATCGCTGACAATGGTCCACAGTTTCGAGCCGCTACATTGAGCTCGTTCTGCAATGACTATGGCATTGAGCTCGCCTTGACCTCTGTATATACCCCACAATCAAATGGACAAGCCGAGTCCGCCAATAAAATCTTCTTGCGAGGCCTCAAGACGCGTGTATTAGCCACACATTCTAATTGGGTAGACAAGCTGAATAAAGTGCTCTAGTCGTGTCACACTACACCCAGCTCGGCTACAGGTGAAACCCCATTTAGCCTCGCCTATGGAGCTGAGGGTGTTATCCCTGTAGAGGTTGGATTGCCATCCGACAGATCAGATTGCCATGACGATCTTAATAATGAGCAACTTTTAAGAGAGAACCTAGACCTTGTAGAAGAGGTTAGGGAGATGTCCTGAATAAAGAACATGTCATATCAGGATCGTGTTGCAAAATTTTACAATAAGAGAGTTCGAGCTCGTCAGTTCAAGGTTGGCGATCTGGTTTTACGCAAAGCTATATTAACCAATACTTATTCGCACATGGGCAAGCTCGCTCCTAATTGGGAAGGTCCCTATATAGTCGTTCAAATCAAGCGACCTAGATCTTATGTGTTAGCAGACATACAAGGATGCCAGTTGCCATATATTTGGAATGTACATAATCTCAGAAGATTTTACAGTTAATGTATATGTTGTTAAAGATTTTGTTCGTGGAAATGTAAACCATACATGCAATACAACAAAGAAGAACAGTTTGATATAGTCTCCAATTTTGTATTTCTCTTCAAAAAATTACAAGTTTCAGTACGAGAGATTGTGATACGATTGTTCAAGAACAGAAACAAAAAATACAAAAGATCAAAAGGAAACAATCCTAAATCTAATCATCCGTCAGATTGACGAGCATGGACACGTTAGTAGCGGGAGGAGAGGAGCGAGCTGGAGAAGACCGGGCTGTGGGCTCGGGAGCTGGTACATTGACGGGCGACCTGGCCAGCACCACGGCAGGCTGAGAGTTGGGAAGAGTGCTCGATGGCTCTTGTTCAGCCACAAAAGCCCCTTCCACCCATCCATCAAAGGAGGGTAGCCCCACTGGATCCTACCCCTCTTCTAAGACTGAGGGAGGCCAGATAGGTACTCCTTCCTCATTAAGATCCCACCTTAGCCGCACTGTTGTATCAGCGAGGGGAGCAAGGCTCTTACCCTGCTCGTCAATGTCCTCCCCGTCAAAAAACGCCAACTCACATATGGGGAAGTCCGGGCGATGGTGTAGCACTTTCCCATGGATCTCGTTGTAGATCTCCGTGGCCATATTCATAGATGCCACCGCCACAGCGTCTTGAAATGCGGCCAAGCCCACCAGCCATTATGCCCCTTGCGCGCGGGCAATGCTTATAAAGCGCCCGTGAGATGTCTTTAGCTTGTTCAGGGCCCCTTCAGTTGCGCTAAGGTTCTTGTCGGCCTCAACGACCTGGTGCCTTAGGGAGCTCAGCTCGTTTAGAGCACGGTCCCTTTCAGCCTCAACCTTCTTGGCCCGTTCCTCAACCTTGGCGGCCTCCTCCCTTACCGCCTGGATCCCGCTTTCTTTTTCGGTGTGGGCTTGCTCCAGCTCCTCCCTGAGCTCATTATTTCTGTCTGCGAGCTCATCTGCTCGACTCTCCGTTGCAGCAGCTCGGTTGGCCATCTCTGAGCCTTGCAGACGATTAACATCATCCACAAGGCTGGCCTTTTCTGTGGCCAACTGTTTGCAGCTCGGTTGACCATCTCCGCTGAGCTCGTTATTCTGAGAGCGAGCCCCTTGTTCGCTCTCGAACAACGCTACTACGTAGCTGAATGCTTGCCAGGTAGCAATAATTGTTAGTCTCTAGAATGGAGTAACAAAATAGTCACGCAGGTGCAAGTAAATACTTACGTCCATCAATTTAACCATGGAGACTTGCTCGCCATGCTGCTGAACAAAAGTCCTTGCCCGTTGACGATCCACGGGAGGCACAAAGCTTTGCATGCCTTGCACCATGGCGGGCTGACAGTCAGGCTTCACATAGCTGAAGTCGTCTGGATACGTGATCCTGAGCGCCGACACTAAGGCCGACGCAGATGCGGGCTCCTCTGCTGCCCGCGCCGTGGCAGATGGCGCGTTGGATGAGCGTGCGGCTGTAGTTTGCGCCGCTTGCGCGGGCCGAGCCGCCACACTTGTTCGCCGCCGCGTGAGGGGTACCTCATCTTTGCTGTTGGTCTCCTCATGTGCACGCCTGCATGCACTGGGGGCCACAGCTTCAACCCTCTGCTCGAAGCGAGGCCTGGACGCCGAGCTCGATCCACGGTGCGACGAGCTGCGTGATTGTGGCATTGGGGGCGACCGCTCGTCAAACCGCGTCTGTCTTTGTAGCGCGTTGCCCGTCGCGTGACCTCAGGAACCCTAGGCTCATTGACGTTGGCATTCCAATATGCTGCTCATTTCTGCTGCATAAACAAATACATAAGACTCAACTCGGCTAGACTTCAGGATATACGATAAAAGTATACCTTCTATGAATAGGTTTGCCACGTCGACAAACCCGAACACGGCGAGTTGCTCCAAGGTAACCAGGGCTTCTAGATCTATCAAGTTTTCCCTCCTCGCATATTCTAGCAGCTGATTCTTTATATCCATGTCCCGAGGCAGCATCTGAGGGTAATTGACGTGTGCATTCGGCACACGCCATTTAGATAGCCGAGCAACGAGGTCATTGCTTATTCGTTCTATGGGAGTGTCGCGAACAAAAATGAACTGCCTCTTCCACCTCGCTACTTTGTTCCTCACATTCTTAAAGAGCTGGCTCTTCTCCCTTCCAGAGAGGTAGTACCACTTTGCACCTCTGGAGTTTGGGAACAATCGACACTGGAACAACGACCTGAACACTATCGCCTTCACCAGCACCTCCAATCTCACACACAACAACATAAAGCCTATGATGAACCTTATGCTGTTGGGCGTCAGCTGCGTCAGAGCCAGCTCGTAATCCACTAGCAGATCGAATATCAACCCAGGCAAGGGAAATCGCAGGCCTACTTCGAAATGGTCCACGTACACTGGTATCCAGCCCGTCTGTGACACCGTGCACGCCCTCTCATTTTGTGCGCCAGTCCAAAGCAATATCATCCTTGGGATGTGGTACGCCCTCACCATCTCCTCCAGTTTCCTATACCCACTTATTGACGACGCACTGTCTGCTACTTCATGATGAAGCACTGCCTTGAATCTAAATCCAGCGGGCAGGTCCTCCGGCGCCTTACGTAGATTGCTCAACCTACCTGTGATTGTCCTGCTTTCCCACTCTTCAATCACAGGCAGATCTGAGACATTGCCAACCACATTCTTCATCCCTTCCTCGCGACTGGGTGTCTCCTCTCGAACTGGCGCTGCTATCAGGCGTCATCGTTTCCTGCAAGTCCTGCAAGACCGGCGGCACTATCATCGCGATAGGCTCTACGGATATAACCCCCTCCTCTTCTTCCTCTCTGCCCTGGTTACCCTGTAGCTCTTTGAGTTCTCTAAAGAAGTCCATTTTTTTACCTTGGATTGCTGTCTAGGTTGTTGAGCTAACGGTTTGATGTTGCATTCTTCAGGCTGTAAGCACTTAGCTACAAAGAATATCAGAAGTTCAAAAACACGTGAAATGGAAAATGGCATAACCATTCGCCTTTTCCATTTCCTGAAACAGCAGTTTCAACAGTAATTGCTGTACGCGTGTCCCTGACGCGCCAGTTAGCGTCCTACACGTGGCAGGCGCTTAACACCCCTTTTGCATAACGTGCGTCGACTTTAGCTGTCACGTCCCCTCAAATGCTAAGTTAGCATTTATGGCGGAGAGGCAGAGAGATACGGGAGATCAATCGTATCTCCTTAGAGATTTGCTAAAATCCCCCAAGATCCAGATTGTAACAGGTTAATATGTACCTTGTCCCGTCCATACCAGCTCATCATGGTGTCCACACTTATCAGGTCGTCGCAAGAGTGGCAGCTCGTGAACGATCAAAGATCTTTAGAGATTCGAGATCGCTCTATTTAACCTCGTCGCGCATATGAGTTGATAAAGTATAATAATCAAAAATCTCAGATCATTCTGTATTTGAGATCGCCTCATCTCAGCTCGTCATTATGTTTGACTGACAGCATCACCTAGTTACTTCAACACCTGCGACAATATCCAAGGTTCAGGTCATCACTTGTTCGCTCGCTCTTATGTCAACGTGGACGAGTTCGATGAAATCGCTATTCACTAGGCGAGCCTACCTCTTGTGAGCCACTTCAGCTCATTGATATAACGAGCCCGCACTAGTGAGGTTACAGATATCAGCTCGCCTGTACTCTCTCAGGCTTATGAGCTCGCCGCATTTGTACAAACCTTGTCGGATCGCCGGAAGTGTGGGTTGCAGAACTGCAACCTGTTCAAACCTTCCCCTCAGGACATGTAACCGGTGCCACCTTTCAGATCAGCCATTAACGAGGTCGCTCACGAGCTGCAAGAGCTGTTAATCCTATACACCAACTCGAACGTTGGGCCATGGACACATTAAACCCAGTTCGTCAACCGAACGCCGAGGGGGGAGTAATGTTGGAATAGGCCCAGCATTCAACTTGGGCTGTACTTAATGGGCATCAGCCTAAGCCCATTAGCCCAAAAGGATGGAGAAGGATGGAGCACCGGTACAGCAAGTACAAGCCTACCCACGTGGGCAGCACCATGTAGGCCAATGAGGCACTTACACATACAGACCCATGTCAGCATTTGGGGTTATAAATACCCCCTAACTACCTCCATGCAAGGTATTACCTCCATTACGCTTCTCTTTCTGCAATTACTCTTTGAGAGCTTCTCTCTTTAGAACATTGAGTATTACTGACTTGGGCGTCGGAGTGTTTTCCCCGAGGAAACATTATCGGGATTTTCAGGTGTGGAAGCAGCTGAAGACTTCAATAGTGTTGGATCGTGAAGCTGCCCAAACAATGGTCATATGCGCCTTTCTGCCATATGCTTTGTGCAAGATTTTGAGCCTTTTGGCTAAAGGAAATCTTAAGTGTAAATTGTAAAGGGAAGAGAAAGAGATATCTTAGTAAGAGAATGTAACAGCGCTGCCTGGCTACAGTTAAAATTGTTAAATTTTTATTTTAATTTAATTATTAAAAATAGTTAATAATTTAAAAATAATGAATACTTATTATTTAATAAATTAAAATTAATTTATAAATAAATATTTTTAAGTATCATAATTAATTATTTAAAAATTTTAAATTAATAAAACTATAATTAAAATTAATGATCTTAATTAATAATTTATCAATGACAATATCTTCGATCGATACATAGGGCTGGATATCATCTGCAGTGTGCCACGTGTAACTTACAAAAGAAAATTTAAAATCTGTTGAAAGATATTTGAGAATGAAGTTGGTTATAGAAACTAGAAAGGAAGTCAATTAATAATATTTTGAAGAAATTGTTTTGTGTTATCTTTAATTATTAAAATTAATATATGAGGAATAATGCATAATGGATTGCATTGACAGTTGGAACAAGGAATATAGTACATTTCAATTATTTCTATTTAGATTTTTTATTAAAAAATTATTCATTATTACATTTTTTTAGGTATGAAAATAATGCAAAATAGATTGATAAAACTATAGTTATAATATTATATGAAATTTTAAA